CTCCCGACAACGTATCGTCGAATGATTATTCACGTGGAGTTTTTTGCAAGCCGCGTTCGTCGTTAATCATTAAGTCTGTCGTTAGACGCACGAACCGTCGCCGATCGTGATATCAGTAGACGATCGTCTCGTCCGTCACGAATAATTATGCGAGAGCACCTCTTATCCGCGATTACGCGATGTGGTTTATACCTCTCTCGATTAACAGCTGTTACTTCGGAGATGTTTCTCTCAGAAGATGCGCTTCTTGTTGCCTTCCTCTGAGAAGGCCCATTCGTGTCCAGCTTCTTATGTAACCGGCTTGTTTCTAACTTTGGCTTATTACCGAAGAAGTAAATATATCTTCCGCTGGCTTTTGGAATCGTCCCCGACGACGTTCGACAGAGGCTCGAATTTCGCGCGTTTGATCTTTCTTCTGTCTATTAATACTCGCGACGTTGCGAATTGTATTGAAAGTACCTCAACGTCGTGCTAAAAGTATCGAATTGTATCTCAACGTCGCGCTAATTTCCCTCCCGAAGTGCTCCGTGTGTTCTCTCGGCCTTGTCGCGTTTTCCAAAAATTAATTCTAAGAGAGAACTCACGTCTCTCTCTCTCTCTCTCTCTCTCTCGAGCGTTATCAGAGCGTTCATCAGCATCTAAAGCAGACGTAACGGTGCGGCAAGATTTCGACAAGAATGAAATCTCTAGCTCGGCCCCTCTCCGCTTCAAAGTTAATCGCCCGTCCGATAATAACTGATCGTTAACGCGACACACACACACACACACACACAACGACGCGCGCGGGGGGTAAACGAAGAAATTATTATGCTCTTGACGAGCACGCAATTGTCACTCCGTGACACGTAAGCCGTAAGACCAGCCCGAGTGCTCATGCGAGTATGATTAATACTGACTGACAGTGCCGCTATTCGACGATGGCTCCATCGGGGAACGAAAGTGCAGCGTGACATCATCGCCGTCGTCCTCGCCGTCTTGATCGTGTCCTCATAGCACGCACGAGATCGCGTGCGCGACATTTGTCGAAGAGTGTCCCTCCACGAAATTCGCGCGGCTCGAGAGCCAGGGGAATGGATTCGATACGTGACCTCAAGAGGCTCCTGTACGAGCGGACGGAGGCGTTGCGACGTCGCGACGAGACCATCGAGGTGCTCGAGCGGGCGCTCGAGGAACGCGACGCCCTGATCTGCTACCTTCAGAAGGAGGTCGAGAGGTTCCGGCAAATCGTCGATCAGAGCTTGGCCGCCGGCTCCGCCGGCGCGAATCAGAGATCGAAACGGCAGGCGATATCGGCGGAACCGCTGCCCCTGCGAAGCGACGCGAAACCGGTGGTGAAGTTTGCCAAGACGCAAAGATTAGATGATGATGATGATGTGCCTTGGATGTGTTCTCGCGTTTGGCTCTTTTCGTTGTCCGTTTTCTTTCATTCTCGATTCGGCTCTCTTCTGAACTGAACCCCTCTCCCCCCTTCCCAACAGCAATTTTGTTTATTTCATTTTTAGTTATTTTCGTTGTCGCACACTGAGAAAAATTTCCGTCGGACGAACCGATCAAATGGTGTATCCGATTGTTATTTTTATCATTCGATTAAGTAATGGACACTTATCTGATGAAATATCCGATGAAATTACCGATGAAACCTAATCGAAAAATTAGTCGTTTTTCGTATATCCGTTGTAATTTTCATCGCATAAAGACACGACTTGATCGGACATCGCACTTGATCGGATATATCCGTTTGTTATTTTTTAATTGGATTATCCGACCAGACATGATTGGACATTTTTTTCATTGCACGTGTCAGGCTGTGCTCGCATATACACTACTACTACTAGAGATCTACACAGAAAAAAAGTGCTAGATTTGAAATAAATAATTATTCATTGGCATATTTTTACTTTCATTAAACAAATTTTATTTGGATCGAGTATTTTATTTGAAATTAATATAATCGGAAAATATTTTACTTTAATCAAGTAAATATTAATTTAATCCAAGTGTGCCAAGAAGTATTGGAATAATTATTTACTTGAATCTAGCACTTTTTTCTGCGTATAGTTCGTGTTATGTATATTATAGATTTTCAGTACTAGCAGTGAACATACGAACACAGCCTCAGTGGGAGCGATTGATTTCGATTGACGATTCGATTTAACTTTTTTTTTTACATTTGATAGACAGATAAGTTCAAGAGAGGCTATAGAAGAAAATATGTTTATTGTGATATAAGTGAATTTACGTATGATTCACGGATAAAATTGAACAAAGTATACAGTACCGTTAAGAAAAATAATAAGCAACGAATCGAAAGTTCGAAGATTCGTCGTACGCTATAAACTAACGGCTATTTCATTTAAATTGCCGCAACTCGAGCAATACGATGTCGGCAATATATAATCAGGAATCGGACTTAAATCCCATAATGTTGATGCGGTCGTTAATGGTAGAGCGAGTCTAATTAAGGTATTTTTCTTTCTCTCACTGGGAGCGGTAACTGCGCATGAATGATTTTATGGCTGTAAACGGAATTTGATTATAAATATATTCGAGAAGATATTAATGTTAGCATACTCTGTAAGAAAAAAAACCCAACTATGAGCGTGAAAATCTCCCGGAAGCATGTTATTATTTTACGCAATATGTTATAATTATCTTTTTTTTACCTCGATAATTTCACGTTCGTTTCAGTTCCGGGAGTCTAGCCTATTATATTTATTAATCATTTGCTGTTGTTAGAAATGTCACTTTTTTAGCACGCAGAAGAGAAGTAGAGACTTAACGGGATCCTCGTTTGTTTCAAGGTCTCGTGAATTGATCAAGGCTGCTATACTGGACAATGACTTCATGAAAAATCTGGAACGCACGCAGATCCGGGAGATCGTCGATTGCATGCACCCCGTAACGTTTCCGGCTGGCTCGGTAATCATAAAGGAAGGCGATGTCGGGTCTACTGTCTTCGTTATGGAGGGTGAGCAAACGCATTTCACATACCAGATAGAATAATTTCGTCGGAGAGATTCGTAAAGCATCGTAAATCACGTTCCGAGTGGTAAATAAACATTGCGAGCCTAAAAAGAACACGCGACTTAAAAATAAAAAAAATATTACTCTTTACACATTCAACTGTTCATTTTTGAAATCTTTTATCGATACATTCGTGATTCGCACGACTAAAATCGCGGAAGGATAATCCCAATAATTTCCTCATTAGACGAAATGACGTTAATGGCGAGCTTAAATAAGACTCAGTGGCAATTGACGGCATAAACGGAACGGAGATAACTCGCGTTCGTGCAAAATATGCTTCTCGCCCATTTTTCATTGCATAAGCGATAATACGCACAATTATTCCGCAAAATGGAAACGAATACACGAGAACACTGTTCGTCTCGATTTGTTTACGTCTTTATGCTGGCACCGCACTGAAATCAAATTTATGTAAAGGCAATCACGCTCAGCCGGTTGCTCCAATATGAGAATCTCCTTTCCTGCCGGAACTTGATTTCTGCCAGACAAAGCATCGCCTCGATGTTATTTCGTAATGAACGGCGTGTCGGGGTTTTACTTTCACGGAAAAACGCGATGCTCGCGTCGCTTCTCTACGGCTGATCCGATTATTAGTGTTATCACTCATCCGTGTCGTGTCACGTAACCGAACGGTGGCCCGCACGTTCTTCGCCGTTGCGCGCTCTGTGTGCACAATGCATTATGCGTATCATGCACGTTAACATTGCTCAGCGCTGCGAAGGAATCACGAGAGAATCTTCGCCGTGGTATTTATTGTGATATGAGAAGAAACGAAACGAACGTCGTTAAAAATCAATCTTAAAAAATCGATAAATTTTTAATGTTTTAACTGAAGGAGATTGCTAGGCTCAGTGTCGTATTTTCAGCGGCGCATCAAGGGGGAGCCATTCATAAATTTGGTATTTAATGAGCAAAATTATGTTCTTATATATTTATTTCATTATGTCTAAATAATAAATGTTAATTTTTGGAATAAAATTGAAGTAAATATATGCGCATAATATTACAAATACGAAAGTATTATTGTTATTTTTGCATATATATATGTATTTCGAATATTATTCTAAGTTGTGAACTTTACACTGCTACATTTTTGAGACAAAATAGTCAATAATTTTGAAATTTATGTATAATGTGTGTGTACTAGTTTTTAATATCATAGTAGTTTTTCCACAAAATTTTTTTTTTTAGTTTAGAGTATATTAAAAATAGAAGCTAAAAAAAGCAAGGTAATATAAAAAAATGTCAACTTTATTTACAAATATTTCAGTTCTCGAATGGTCAATCTTTTTCTAATTGCACGAGCAGTTGGATAATATTCCAATGTACGCTCGGTATAAATTTCATTGAATTTTTATGAGAAATTCATTTCACCTTATAACCCACTTAAATTATCGTTGGTTAACTTAATCAGTCACAACGCACACGTATTCGAACACTCAAAAGCGAGACTCGTGTTCAGTCGAAATTTGCCAAAGAAACAGAAATGCATTGTCGCAAAATAGGGAATCAGGATCTGGTGCCGATGAAAAATATCAAGTATCGATGTATCCCGGCAAAAAAGTGTGATCTGCGTGAGGTGCTATTTTTTTATTCTCGCGGAGAGAAATCCTTTTAGATCAATATTATCTTTCTCTAGCGCGGTGAAAGGTCTTTATCTTCCTCGGTTTCCTCACACCTCTCGTTCCGCGGTAAAGCAGTTAACAGGATCTCGTCGTTAAATTCGGTGTCGCGGTCTCCGTCGCAAAGAGACGCCGCTGCCCCCTCGCCCGTGGGCGAGCTGCGGGGGCGAGAATGGCGAGAATTGAGAACCGCTGTCCTTTCTCTCACGAGTCGCGACCGAACTATGGTGGGGACTCCCGCGTCTCGTCGAGGGAAGGGGAGTTTCTCGTGGTGCTGTTCGCCGCTCACGGGCATACTTTTCACCAGTCGCGAACGCTGTCAGTGAGCGTCAGTCGCGACGCGGAGGCTCGTGACCGCTCGGTGCCCTCCTTCGGCAGGACCTCTTGCAGGATCTCGCGCCTGGAAGGCACGTCGTTCGCGACGACGCCTACGCGAAGTGGCGAATCGATCTGTCGAATCTTCGTTCGTTCGTTCTCTCACGAAGAAGAAAGAGAGTCCTTTCGCGAAAGCAGCCAGGATTCATCGGGGATCATCGATCGACTCGCGATCGTAGGGTCCCGGCGTTTTTTTCGCATCTTCGCTGAAGGATTCGCACGTCGCGCCGATTCACGTCGTTCCTGAGAAACGAAAAAGGATCGTACGGGAGAGAGAGAGAGAGAACGACACTCGACGGAAGTGCATCCTGCGTACAACTCGCGAGAGGTTCTCGCGCGCGGGATTCGCGATCGACAACGCATTTGGCTGGTGTTGGCGATGGCAAGGTTTCCCGCGCGGCTTTCCGCGACGTACCAAAACCGTCAGCGACCGGACGACGGGAGTCGCGAGTGAACTGCGGTGAACGCCAGTTCGATCGAACTTCCTCATCCGAGAACGGCAACGAGATCGATTCGGCTTCTCTTCAACTCGTCCGTCCTCTTCCTCCCCGCGACAAATCCGGAGGAACACTCATGGAGAAGACGAGCGGCTCCGGCTTCCGCACTCGATGATAATCGAAGACAAGTGACGGACTCTCCGACGCGCAGAGAGGTAGTCGATCATCTTCTTGGACCGCTGCCAGTTTCAGCGTCCACGACGATGCCTCTGGCCTCGGCCGGAGCTTCCCGCACCGACCGGCTGTCATCCGCGGCACTCCATCCTCGGGAACATTCCCGCATGTCGCATTAACGCTCCGCAAACTCAGCAGGCTCGCTCGCGACAGACGAGACCGCGAGCGTGCGAAGTGAGCGAGTCGGGGAAGATGCGCTCGACCGCGCGGAAACACCGTCAGACGACGTCCCGTCGCACCGGATGAAAGCTTCGTCGGCATTATCGCCGTGCACGGCGATCGGCCTTTGACCTTTGCGCGCGCCGAGTAGTTCGCGGACCACGGGGAAAAAGTCCCGGGCGAAAGTCTCGAGCTGAGCTAAGAAAACGGGGTCGACCTCTCTTTCTCTCGCTCTTTCTTCCTCTATTCCTCTCTTCCGACCCGCCCAAGTCGCGCGCTCGGGGTCATGAAGGTCCGAAGTTATCCCGGCCGGGCGGTCTTGGAGGACCCGGAACTCCTCCTGGACCCGGATGCGACGCGCGGCAGGGCGATGGAGCTGCTCTACGAAGCCAGCTGGCGAGAGTGCGGTGTCAATTGGGCCAACAACAACAGTAAGGCCAGCAACGGACTCAGAGCTGCCTCCAGGCAACAAGAGGACGAGACCTTCCGGCGGCCGTACGCCGACATGATGTCGCAGCTAGTGACCGAGCTGGAGGAACGTCCGACTGGACCGTCCACGACGAGGGAGAACGTGCGGTCCAGGGGATCCAGCAGTACCGGCACCACCGACAGCGACTGCTCGGACGTGAACCAGCCGACGAGCGGCAACGCTCAGGGGGGCTTCCTCATTCCGAGGCCGCGACTGATCGTGCCGGTTCACACCTACGCGAGGAGAAGGCGCACCGGCGCGCCGCAGCCTATAAAGAGACGCCAAATACGCGAAGGTATATATCGCGCGCGCGCGGATGTCGGGATCCGGCTTGATTTTTCTGTTCTTCTCTCGAAGAACAAGAAGGAGAAGGGAACGAGAACGGTTTTATGCTCGGCATGATTTTTGTAAGCCTGCTCTCCGTTTATGGGGTGAGCGAAGAATCGCGCGAAAATTTCGATTGAACACTCTTGTCTCGTCGCAGTGTTTGAATACTTGCTGTTGATCATACGCACCGAGAAAAATGTTTCCTTGGATTTAGTATACGCGTTTGTTTGACTTGGGTTTGTTTAATGTAAATGACAATTTAATATCAAATATCATTTTGTTTGAATGAAAATGTTCATTCATTGTTGTTTCATTAGAATAAGCTATGTTGCTTGATGGGAAAAACAATATTATTTAGAGAAAATAACATTTCATTTTCAATAAAAAAATTTATATCCTTGTATATTGAATATTGTTCTAAAAACAAAGAATTTCTTTAATATTTTTCTGACGTAGTGTCACTTCTCTCAAATAATTAATCGCTTGGGACAACTATTATAATATTTTGAATGATAAAGATATAAAAGAAATATGTTATTTGATGTAAAGATATTCATCATATGTATTTATTCGCTATTACAAAGATATTTATTGGGCATATCGAATCAGATTTGCGTGCGTGCGATTTTGTAATTTATAATTTTTATTTTCGCATTCACGTTTTATTTCGATATAAATTCGGTTGGATGGCCTGTACATTCAGGCCCGTATTTGGGACACGCTTTTAACGATATTAGCGCGTTAACAAGTTAATTTATTAGTAGTTCTAAGTAGATATTTTGCTATAAAAACGCGTAATCATCGGTTTCTCCTAATAGAGCATTGTTATTATCGTGTTTACAATACAAGCGATATTGAGAATGTTCATATCTCTTAACTTGTTAGCGCGCTAACATTGTAAACGCGTTTTGAATACGTTCTGAACGGGCCTTAATGTTGTTTCAATTATTATGTCGCCTTCTTGATATTAATCTTGTTCATGCTTTTCAAATTGTGTTTATACCACTGTTTATATCACTGAAGAAGGTCTAAGATGGCTAAAATGTTTGGTTTTTATTTTGTACACGCTGAGAGAAAGATTTCTTCGAATTTAATAAATTTTATTGCGTCCAAACAAATTTCATCATTGGCATGCTTCAGAGAAACTAATGTTTCGATTAATAAGTACGATTATTAGACTTTTCAACGAATGTGTATTTTTATAAAAAAGAAAAATTTATTTGAAACGAAAGATAATTTCGTATAAAGAAATTATTTGTTTCATTTTATACATTTATTGTAATCAAATAATATTTTATTTGGTTACAAGATATTACTTCAAATAATAGCGTTTTTTCTGTTAAATAATAGAGTTTCCTTGAATGAGACAATAAAATTTTTATTCAAACAAATAATATTTCGTATATGTTGTTTCTATGAAACAAATTTTAGTCAAATAAATAGAAATATTAAATCTAAAGAAACCTTTTTCTCTGTGTATATTGACTAAAGATAAATATAATGGCACTAAGATAACCGTGTTCTGCCTTTTTATGACTATATATTCGAAAGTTAGGTTTATTAACAAGTTGGTTTCAACTAAAGAAATCCGATCAAATCCAAATAAACCCTTTTCTCTGTGCGGTGCAAAGAAGGTACAAATTGAAATTTGAAATCGAATCGTAGGTCTCTTCAGAAAAGAGGCTTAAGTCTATAATGCGGTCGCAGGGTCGTGTAGTCGCAGTCGCTCGGTCCACTTCCAATGCCAGCGACAGATTGATCGTAGCCACTGGAATTGGAAGTGAGCCGACTCGAGCGAGCTATACGACTACACGACCCTGCGACTGCATATTGTAGTCGAGGCTTCGGATAAAACGGAGTACATGAATGGGGGCCGTTCGAGGGAGAGTTGCTCGAGAACAATGCCTGATTATTTGTAATTTATATCTACTTACGTTTGAACCATTATCATACACACACCCACGCACCAGTTACGATTGTTACAAAAGAAGCACGTTGACTTGGCAGCGACTTCCGTTTCAACGTAACGGACGTATCGGAGATCGGTCGGTCCTCGAAAGATGTCTGGACGCCGAGACGGAGGAAGAGAAAGTACGCGATTTCCGAGACACTCCGTACATGCCGGTCGCCGGATGTAGTTATTCCTCGCAATTAAATATGTATGTGACACGCTCATTTATGCAATTTTATTATTCGACGCACGAGGAACGCAACGCAAAGTCGATTACACGCGCGTGTCATCTGCGATTTCCTACGACACGCGAGGAGAACAAAGGAATTTTCGGCGGCTCCTCTCGGCTGTCGCGCGTCAAGTCGACCTCGATATCGTATTTTTTAGAGCGCGGAACCGGATTATCTCTCGCGAAATACGCGGCTCTTCTCTGTTCCGCCGCTGCTCGTGAAAAGCGATATCATCGCTTCGCTCGGCTCGTTCACGCTGCGATTGCGCTCGCGATTTTGCCGCGCGACATGTCTTAGTTGCACAACGCGGATACCGCGAGCTTTTCTGCACTTGGCGCACACTTTTAAACCGCGCGTGTGCGCGTTTTAACGTTTCGCGATTTATCTCGCGCCCACTCACCTCGCACACCGTGAAATCGTTCCACAAATTAACGATGCACAGCGCGTGAATAATGCACGAATGTTCAACATTCTTGGCATTCGTAGCGAAACGTTCGCTCTCCACGAAAGCACCGGGTCGATTTTATGCGCATGTATTTTCTCTCTCTCTCTCTCTTTCTCTCTCCCTCCGAGGAGATCTGTGTTTTCAAAGTGGACGTTCGCGCGCGATATAATTGCGAGGAGCTTATTTAGACTTTATAATGCAGTCAATTTTGCACGCAAAATGCAAAAGCGCGCGTTTGGAACTTTCTAAACACACAATTTCGCGCTCGTCCACGAAACTCCACGCTTGTTACGTTTAAGCTGTGTATTATCGATCTAATTCGCCGGAGAGATAAATTACGCTGACTTCGGCGGCAATTTTCTTCATAGATTTAGCCATGCCGCATTCATGGGCGTCCATCGACGTGCGCCTATCATTCACGAGCGTCGATTTACGGCGCCGGTGCGCCAATAGAGAAAGTCGCTGTTGACGTCGGACGTCGGGAATAATGGAAAGCCAAGCTGGTCATCGTCGTTTTATCGCCGTCTACCGTCACTACGAACATGCTGAGATCGCGTTCATCACGACTCGTATTTCGCTTAATCGTCGCCGGATAAAAATCGACCGATGACACTGTTTGAATTTTCGCGAAGCTTTTTGACTCACCTCTCCTTCTCGCAGGGCGCTCGAGAAATCTCTTGATTTTTCCGTTGCTACCGGCACAGATGCTTATCTTAGCGCGACTCTTTGAACGAGATAAAAAATATTTGCATCACACACATACACACACACACACACATTTTATGCGCGCATACCGCTAGACGCTCCGTCTACGTACGTTGAATCGTTCGCGAGAAATCGCTCGTTGAAAGTGGATTCGCCTTTCGGCGAGTGACAAAGTTACTCCGATAAATCGCGAACCACGCGAACACACATTGCGAGTCATCTTCGTCGAGAAAAAGTTATCTCGCGGAAATTAATATTTCTGAAGATGTATGATTTGCACGAAACTACTGCCAAGTGGACAGTCCGAGGACGGAGATTGATTGAAAGAGAGATGTTTGCGCTGATGCGAAATTTCTCTCTGCCTGACGCAAACCGGTCTCTTCAAACTTTTCTTTCATCTTACTTCTCTCTCTTTTTCTCTCTCTCTCTCTCTTTCTCTCTCACACATTTTGCTTTCTAACGCCCCAAGTATTCGGACGTGGGAGAATTCCGCAGAAATGCCGTCTGAAAGTCGCGATAGCTGTCACGTGCGGAAATCCTCCCGTCGTCGAATTCGCGCGTTTTTGCGGCAACTTGATCGGTGCGTTTACGAAACAATCGGCGAAAGACGATTCTAATCAGCCACTTTCACCATAATCTATCTGAGCGCGCAATATGGCAGCGATCGCTGGTTCACCGGAGAATCGCGCTACACGAACGGTCTTTATTACGCAATAAATCGTCGCGCTTTAACTATGCCCCGTGTGAAACAAATCGATGATCGAAATTAATCGATAATCAATATCTCATGAGCGCGACGGCAGGTTCTCGCTGGAAATGATTCCGATTTCGCAACGTCGAGTCGGCGCGAATTTTAATAAAAAATCATCTCCACGATATTATGCAAATAATCTCGCGCGATCGCGAGATTGTTCTTACATTATTACCATCATGTGCGAAATTATTCAAGCGCGACCTTTTCCGCAGAGCCATTATTTTTACGTTACGCGACTCGCTAATTACGGCACAAGATCGCGTAGATCCCGCGATTTATTTTTACCAGCAGATCAGCGTCATCGTGACTCTCGTGATGCACTGTATAACGATCATGGGAACGTGTCTGAGAGCTAGCAAGCAAGAGCGAGCGCATCCGAGAACAACCGTGCCGAACGCGGCGCCGTTCGACGCTAATTAAAATTATAATTGTCAATGAATTGCAGCGACGTACTGTCGCGCAGTCCACGTGTGCGTGTGGTACGTGGCGGGCATCCTAACCGCGGGAGAGCGAATTTTCTGTATCGAGCCCGCCCGTGAACTTTTTCTCCGGCAGTAGAACCGATTTTAACATATTGATAATTATTATATTTCACATGTTAATTAATTTAATACTTTGGCATTTTTCATTTCGGAAATGATAACGTGCGTTATTTGCGTCTACACAATTAATTTACCAAACTCGTTCGGCTCGCTCGCGATTATCCGAAGTGCAGGGTGAAGGAATGCGAAGTGGAAAAAAATTCGACACTCACCGATAGTGTACCGGTGTTCGAATGTTTAACAACCGGCTGCCGCCGCTGGTCGATTTCCGCAATCGCCAGCGACTCCGACTCGACATCCTGTTTCGCGCGCGCCTTTTACGCAAAAACCGTGACTCCACT